GAAACTTCTACGCTAAGAGATTGTATGAAATTCCTTTTTTTGGTTTAATTCGTTTAAAAAAAGAAAGAAATTTCTACACAGTTCCAAAAAGAATATAAAAACAGTTGCTCTTACTTTAGTCAATATAAATAAATCTGCAATCGCGGGAGTTTTAAGCTTTCTTGAAAATCGAAAAAACAGTAACGTTCAAGGATTTCAAAATACTTCTCTCTTAATTAAAGTTGAAAAATTTGATGACGAAGAAACCCAAGCTCGTTTATTTTTCCTTGATAATGATCCGGTAACAGAACTTTCTGTAGTTCCTAATGATATCGAACTTAAAGAAATTAATGAAAATACCAATACAAGTAAAACAAAGAGAAATTTCTTTTTTAGAAGTAATTATTTTATGATTAATCATCCAAAAAAATACGAAGTTTATTACAAAGAAAAAAAAATTTATGCATTAATTCCTGAACAAAAAAGATACACTGTTCATAATTATGATAAACCCGATAATGTTAAAACATTTGAAATAGAAAAACGTCTTAAAAAAGCAATTGAAACGATTATCAAATCAGAATAATAATTATGTAATCGCAATTGAAACAATTATCAAATCAGGAGAATAATAATTATGTAATCCTTTAATAAAGTGTTTTAATTTTGTTAAACAAAAGAAAAGAATTTCTCGCAACAATAATAAATAAAATTTCTTTTATGGTTTAATTGATTAAATTAAAAATATTTTTAATTGAATTTATAAGATTCAGCAATTTCATTCAAAAATAATAAACCCTAATTAGTATGAAAGTATAAAAATATCGGTTTTACTTTAGTCCACATAAATAATCTGCATGCATAAAAAAACAATGAAAATAAAAATGAAATTGTTAGAGATCTCTCAACGATTTAATGACTTTTTTAACGAGTAATATATATTTATTCTAAATAATCGTATTAAATAAATAATTAATATTTTATTTTTAATAAACAAATAGCATGTCTGGAAGAAACAATATCACTAAACAACAACTCATTGAAAAAATTGATGAATTGACCATATCATTCGAAGAACAAAAACAAGTAACAAAAGAAAACCATGATAACGAAATCAGTCTTTACCAAGAAATAATCAATGCAAAAACAAATGAAATTGCAAATTTAAAAAATAAAATTGTGAATTTGAGGTCTGAAAAAACAACTGAAATTACAAATTTAATATCTGTACTCGAAAAACAAGATGAAATGAGAAAAAAACATGAATATGAATATAACGAAAGGTTGAAAGAAAAAGATAAAATTCATAAACGTGAGAAGGAAGAAAGAGAAAGAACATATAAACGTGAAACAGATATTTTAGAACAAACTATCAATCGTTTAGAACAAACTGTTAATAATTTACAAAACTAACATAGTGAAACTGTTTCCTCTAGATACTAAAAAAATAATATTGTTGTTTTAAAGTTTTTTTTATATGTATTAAACTAAATTTATAAATAAACACCTTTTTAAAATTAATAACTGGAACAATTGATTCAAAAATAAAAAATGTCTGAAAATACCAATACAAAAGTTCTTCCATTACCGTCTAAAAGCGGTTCTAAACAACTTGATCATATCCAAGGAGACTTTAATCGTTTAACTAACGAAATTAAGCAATTAAAAAAAGAAAACGAAGAATTAAAGAAAAATAATTCTGAAAAGTGTGAAAAAGAGTTAAAAAAAATCGAACAACAAGTAGAACAATGTCTAACTTCGTTACGTACCGAATATGATAAAAACGCCACTTTGGACCAAAAAATGAAAGAACTTGTAGAATTATGCAAAGATTTTGGAGAAGAACTTCCTAATTTTAGAAACAAACGAGTATTTTGATTTGATTTTTAATCTTTTATACAAAATTCTATTAAATTATTTAACAATTTTCTTATTTATTTTACAATAAATATAGAAACCATTTCAAAAATAATTAAAATGAATAAAACTCGTTCAAATATTTTTATTTGAATAAATATTTATACATATAATAAAATATAAAATAAAAAATAATTTTTATCTTTCGTCTTCGGAGTTTGTTTGTAATTTTTCGATTTCCTGTTAATTAAATAAAATAAATAAATCAATAAATATATAATTAAATATTAGTGATAATTGAAATTAACTATACTACCGCTTCTAATTCTTTAATTTTATTTTTTAATTGAGTGTTTGTTTCGTCTTTTTGTTTGAGTTTTTCATTATTATCTTTCAATTTATTTAATAATTTGGTATAACCATAAGATAATTGTTGTAAAAGATTAAGAAGCCAACGAGTATGATGATCATTTATTCCTATTCCGCCCAAATTTTCAAAATCACTAGATCGACCATGAAAACCTTTGACATTTATTAATTTAAGATTGGGACAATTAATTAATATTTTAATTGATCTTTCAGAACTTGAGTCTGAATGTTGAACATGTATAGGGTGATATGAATCGTCGTGGTTAGGACAATCGAATGTTTCAGTATCTTTACAAATTCTTCCTTGGTAATCACCAATTACTTTTGACATTTTTTAAACGATAATATTTGGTATTTTAGGATTATTTATAAATTTTATTTATATTGTATATTTTAAAAATATCGTTTCATTGTTATAAGTTTTTTAAAATAAATTAAATATACATAATAATTTAAATTAACAACATAAAAAACATAACAATAAACTAAAAATAATTCATCATTCTCATTATTTTATCTTTCGTCTTCGGAGTTTGTTTGTAATTTTTCGATTTCCTGTTAATTAAATAAATAAATCGATAAATATATAATTAAATATATTAGCAATAATTGAAGATGATTATACCGCTTCTAATTCTTTAATTTTATTTTTTAATTGAGTGTTTGTTTCGTCTTTTTCTTTTTCGAGTTGTTTT